GAACAAATGACCGTGCTCATCACACAATATTTATCCTGGGTGGGAATCGAACCGAGCTTAGCAGTCAGGGCCTAGACTAGACTGACAGGCTAGTCAATGGATGCGCCCTCAGTATGATAAACTTTGTGTCCGTATGTGTACTTTATAATTTAATAGGACAATGACTTGACAGACAGACTGGTTTTAACTATACGGGTCTTAAATATAAACCAAAGCTGTTAAAATCACCTTTAAAAGAAGTATTATCGATATCTAAATAAAAATTAGTCTGTCTATTTCCCATATGAATTAAATTAAATCGAAGCACAACTAATAAATATGAGCTAACGTAATAATAATAATAAAGTAGCAGTGGTTTTGTAAATCAGTCACAGGTGTAATGAAAGGATTTTAAATCATATGATTTATCACATGTGATTGTGATTTTATTTCATCCCTGGTAAGCACCTACCGCTGCCCTTAGACGCCTGCAACTAAAGATACAAGTGCGTTGGCGGACTCTGTGTGTCCTCCCCCCAGAAGTTACTAATGGTTCGACCCGCCCCCTGGCGGGTATGGTCACCTCACTCGATCAGTGAAAGGCACCGAAAAAATTGCTTAACACCGGTTTTCTGTGTGGCCGTGGTATCATTCCGATCGAGCCGGCCCATTCGTGCCGAAGTATGGCTCGTTCTTTTATAAAATTCAATGTTTTTTGTGTGTTTTATATTTCCTATTCAAAAACTAATAATCCAATTTAGCACAAACTATTTCTTTCTCAAGGTTACCTAAAGTATATTTACTATCGTAAAATAGCATAGATACAGTACTATTTTTAACCAACTTCTAAAAAGGAGGATTCTCCATTCTTCTCAATTCGTCGGAATCTTTGTTTTTATGTATGTTGACCGATTACGCAAAGACGCCTGAACTGATTTCATAAGTTCCTTGTTTATTTCAAAGGGTATACTTCCCAGGTGGTCCCATTGAAATTTTACAGAAATCGATGGCAAAAAAATCTTAACATTACAAAAACTCGCTGTCTCATTAGAGCAGTGAGTTTAGTTGGCCTATTCATTTATACTAACTAATATTATTAAATTTTTAGTGTTCTTTGTTAGTATTCTTTGAAGTCGGTTTAACTTTATTTTAAAAGGATGTATAAATGATAACTAACAAATATACGTACAATCCCCGAAAGGGAGAGCAGATGCATACCAACGGTTTTCCAAATTTAAATTTTATTTCTACATCCTTTCATAAAGCAATGATACTATCTAATTAATAAAGTTCAAGTTACACTGGTCCTTTGTCATTTGCTTATTGTACATCAAGGCTGTATTTATTGACTCCACCGACACAAGAGCTCTCCGGCCCAGACGGAGTTGTTTGACCCTCATATGACTCATCCTTAACAGTTAGTTCTTAGGTGGGGCACAAGTGTGATTTCCATTGTTTATGAAAATTCATAAAAGAAACAGTCTAACGAAAGGTAGATTATTTTTTTGGTACAACGTAATAATAATAATAATAATCTACCACATTCACACACGCCATCTAGTCCCAAACTAAGCAGAGCTTGTACTATGGGTACTAGACAACTGATATAAATACATACACTTGAAATTAATAGTTACATTATTAACATTAGTAATAACGAAGGAATCGTTATCTATATATATATATATAAGAGATTTCCACGTATATAGTCACTCATCACGATATCTCTGGAACCATTAGAGCTAAAGACTTGAAATTTGGTAGGAATATTCTTTTCACCGAGTAGAGGCCAGCTAAGAACGGATTTTAAGAAATTAAAAAAAATATATATTTAAATAATGTAAATAGCAAAACAACGTTTGCAGGGTCAGCTAGTTACTAATAAATAAATCATTATTACTATTGTTAGGAATAAAGTAGGGCTTTTTCACTAACCAACAAGACGAAGGGCTAAATTTTAAGAATGTATGAAATTATAAGGACAGACGTCTAAACTTGTCAATGGATGACCAATTTTCCTATCTAATTCCAAAAGTGCCCGGTGGACAGCAATAGGGATGATAATAATAATAATATTTCGGACAACTGACACACAACGCCATCTAGTTTCAAACTAAGCAGAGCTTGTACTATGAAAGCTAGATTGACTGATAGAATACTTAGATACTTTTTTTTATGCATATAAAACACCGAAACAAATGTTTGCAGATCATACCCGGGAATCGAACCGAATCGCACCACCGAAGCAGGATAAATCTCTATTACATAAGTGGGACTAAAATCACAGTTATTATACAAAATATGGGCGTAAACACCTCTACTTATCTGTACGCTTCCAAGTATAGTTCTAGAAGTATATAAGGTCGAATATTGCCTGAGCCAGCGGCAGTTTTATTTTTATTTTAAATGGCATTGACAGTGTATTACGCCTCATGTATTTTAACGCGGACGCAATTTTAATCAACAAATCAAGACACACAGACTGACTAAAAAAAATTGCATTTTAAGTTTGCTTAACTAAAAATGAGATCACGCTGTGCAGAAATAATTCAATTCAAAAAGTAGATAATGCCACTAAATAATTAAACATCTGTATTTAAAATCTTCTTGTCTAGAAAAATACCCATTTATTTTAATGATTAATTGTTTTTAGGGCTCCGTACTTCAAAAGGAAAAAAAAAAACGGAACCCTTATAGGATCACTTGTTGTCCGTCTGTCTGTCTATCAAGACCTTTTATATAGGGAACATGTAGGAGGTATCGAGTTATAATTAAAACCATACTCAGGTGTACGGTTTCTTGAAGCTGTAAAATAATCCCTTATTTAGACAATCTCAATCAAGGGAATCAAAAGTCGCAGTCGCAGAGCGACCTCCGTCCTCCATAAGCGCAGGCCTGAGGGTGACAGGTGAGGCCATCTGTCACTCTAGCAGAAGCAGGCCGGGGTGGGTAATGGCGCGACGCATTACGGATCGCGCGCGCCCTTCGAGGCAGGAAGGGAACATCCGGGTTCCCACACAGGAGGGCATCTATAAGCCGTAGATGGCCCGAGGTACGTCGGGGTACTAGGGCTTTCCTTTCTAGGGTATACCTGGTTCCCCGGCTACTGGTACCTGGAGACGGCGTGCGGTTTTTAGTCGGTTCCAGTCCGACTTAATCACCCACCGGTGGGTGGTATCCAAGGCGAGTACCGTACCGCAAAAGTATACTCGTACTTCCCGTTGACCTATAATTCTGAAATTTGGCAACTAACATCGTCTTGTACTAAAGTACAGGTTAAAATCTGAAAAATATACATTTGTAAATAAATCTTAAAAAATATAGTCTCTAAAGTACGTAATCAATCATCGAGGTATAATTTCTCTTCTAAAACAAGAATATAATTACATAATTGTAGGTTTTGGAAATTTTGGGCAAAGCTCGGAAAAAACTGCGAGATTCGATTCCTAAACTATTTATAATCATCACATCATCACATCAACAGCCTATACTAGTCTACTGCTGGACATAGGCCTCTCCTTAGAAAGGAGGTTTTGGCCTACTATACCACGCTGACCAGACGGGTTGGTATAGGGTTTGTTTCAAGTTTTCCTTCTCTTATTCCTTTTCGTTTTTATAATATGTACCTACAAATGTGTACGGAACCCTCGATGAGCGAGTCCGACTCAATTGTCTGGATTTTTTTGTTCATCACAACTACGTAAACAAGTTTTTTTTCACAATAAGAAAACAGTTTTTTTTTAGAATTAGTTGGATTATTATTCATATTATTATTCATTCAGGGTTTTTGTTTAGATTGTGAATTGAATTGTTTGTGCACAAAATGTAAGTAGAACACTTCTACTTAAATTCGTTTAGATCGCCACCAGTGAAACTCTAAATAATAATGTATGTAAATACAGTACTTATTTTTTCCTAGAACTTCATAAAATACTGTAGGGCCGCTGGTGCAAGGTCATGCCACATTAATAGCTTATCATTGGTTATATAAATAAACAATTAAAAACATAATTTATTGGTAAAACGTTTTTTATATATTGTCGTTCTACATTATGACTCAACTTCCTTCGTTGGACAAAACATGTTCTAACATTTGGGAACCGAATATCACCCCTTATTATAATAATAACTATCTGACCCTGCAAACGTTGTTTTGTCATATACATTTTTTCAATTTTTTTTGTCAAAAAAAAAGAAAAAAATATAGGGGTGTGAAAAATAGATGTTGGCCGATTCTCAGACCTACCCGATATGCACACAAAATTTCACGAAATTCGGTCGAGCCGTTTCGGAGGAGTTCAACTTCTAACACCGTCACACGAGAATTTTATATATTAGATATGTCAACAGCATCGGAGTCGCAACTTCCGTGAGACTGGTTTTTGGTGTAACTATACCTATATAAAAACTATAATTCCACTGTTCAGAATGCTAATTTTGATAATAAAATATTTTTAACAAAAATATCTGAAAATGGAAGATTATTTTGTTAAGGTCGACGTACGCCGGTAACGCCAGATCCGGCTGCGTTTAAAAGTGAAAGCAAATATAACGGATATCTTAAAGCTCGTTTTTACCTTATTTAAAGACTAAATCAACATTAAATTAAAGGAAATAAATAAAGCGTTTTTTTTTCATTATACTCATTTGATTTAAACAATGTTAAAAACATCTAACTTGCAGGTTTTTTAAACTATTTGTCATTCGAGGGCCATTAAATATCTCAATGAACTGTGAATGAATCACGCAACATTCGACATTGAAACTTGAGCTCTTTATGTTAAAACACATTGTATGTATTGCCGGCCCGCATTATGTCTAGAGGGCATTATCTCCCTTCGTATTATATCATTCACATCCGGCAATTTAAGATACATAAAAACTCCCCTACACGACAAACCTTACTCAATAATTTTGAAATTTCTTTTGAAATAGAGGAACGATTAATATTTAAAAGGGGTTTAATTTAGTAGTATGGATTAAACTACATTTTTTTTTTAATGGAATCGCAAATATCTATGTTAATAACAAACCTTAAAATGATCAACCAGTATCTGGAACAGTCCTTGCCCTAACAAGTTCTTGTGAGGAGGGACCACTATCGAATGGATTCGCTCCAGCAACCCTGGCAAGGCACCGCTATCGTGAGACACACAACGAGACGCAAAGTCCTCCAGCGTACTTCTCTCTAGCCCTGTTTGTATATCGACGTATTCCCGCATCTTGCTATTAGAAGATGACACTTTGCTTAATAGAACCGACATTTCGTGCAAAAGCAATTCTGTTCTCGTCGCCCTATGTCCTTTTTTAGATATCATTACCGCCAATTGCCCGATAGACTGCACACTAACTTCAAGACGTTCAATAGCTCGCGAGACTTGGCCCAGTTTCTCAAGAATCTCCCTTTCTTTCCTGTGAACATATGGTATCGCCACCCCCTCACTAACGTTAAACGGTTTGCCGATGACATCCCAGGAGCTGATCACTTCTTGCCCTATTTCTTTGCCGAGTGATATGATATCAACGACGTCGTCGACAGAAATCGCGCGCGTTGTAGTCGCAAGCGCGAGCACCACAAGAAAGCTGCGCACGCGTCGGACGGACATGGCGGCTGACGTACACCCACTGATGTTGCGAGGCCCGAGGTCGTAGTGTTGCCAATGCAAAACACGAAACTACCGCTGTTTACTCATTTTGTACAATCTTTTTTATGTCTATATAAATGTATAAACGATCGAAATTCGATCGCCTGATAATCTGTAGTATTTAAAATTACAATGTACAAGTGTCACAGACTTAGTTTTAGGTACTTTAGGTAAAATCCTAACAGAAACTAGTTTGGATAAATAAAGCTATCACAAAAAAGTGCTTTAAAACCATGGCACATTGAATATCACAGAACATTTTACTAACAGAGTTAAACAAAATTATCAAGAATAAATAAGTCGAAAAATGAGGTAGGCGTATATTTCTCGCAAAATCAGTAAAATAATTCAAGTTCATTTCTTTTTGTATTTAAACCATGTGCATTCTATTGTTATATTATTCACAACAATAACAAATGATCAGTGTTATGTCATTTTCGATCTATTAATAAAAAATCCCCATAAATTTAAAAAGATATCATACTTGGCAACACTATTCGGTTGTTAAGTAAACAAGAAAACACCGGTTCGTCGCTCTTATAATGCTGACAATAACTTGTAACACTTTTAATATCTTAGTCTTTTAAGCTTTCGTGTAAAGATACTGTTTAAAATATTTAAAACTTGGTCATATATAAAAAATATGTTATGCCTATGTCCTTTGCGGTAGACGTTAAGAGTTCATCTAGTTTATTATTACGCAATTTATTATGCACGAAGAGTAATATAAACCAAAGTTTTTTAAAAAGGAAGTCTGTTTAAATCTATATAATTTATGTAAATTCAATATTTGTTGTGTTTTAAATACTACAACAGAAAAGAAATGAATATTTGAGTTATTTAAAAGGCGAAAACTATTGAGAAAAAAAAGATAACAGCCTTATTAAAAATATAAATAATTAAAAGGAAAATCCCTTATTAAAGATGAATGATGTGTCTTTTGCTCAAAAAGCTATTTTTGTTGTTTGAAAACGATGTTGAAACTTAAATATATAAACAATAAACTCTACAAAAATAAATACGGACTCACCTTTGAAAATGGGCAATTTTTAATGATCATAAAACTAAGAAACAAAATGTCTAAAAATAATAATTATGTAACGCATTTTTTTAAAGTAAGCAAACAGCATACTTAGCAAGTGTTAACATCCTGGCACTAGTGACTGAAGAATGGCTTGTTTGTTTCCTCCGCTAAAAATCAACCATCATAATGGGACAATGCACAAACAGTCGATCTGCCAAATCATAATATACCAAGAGACTTATAAAAGAAATTGTTATTTAAAATACCTGAGCCAAAAACGATTGTAGCAACTGAATAAGCCCTTGGTTCCGAAACATGGGGACGATCAGGTTGTGGATCTTTTCCATGACGCCTTTAGTTGCTCCTGAATCCAATGACACGCACCATTCCGCATAGTTCAGCAGGGTCTCAGGCTCCAAGTTCTCGTGGTGATCTACGTATTGCTGCATTTGCATCTCGATCGAGGACAGAGAGCTCAAGTAGTCTGTCCATTGTAATAGTCTCATCTCCAGTTTCTGTGATCTCCTTCGGGCTGTAATAGTTTAAGAAAAAATAAAATATACTAGTAAGCATTCAGAGGTTAAAATTCGCTGGCAATTTCTCAAATTTAACTTAGAAAATAAACTCCTGAATAAAACAAAGAAACATTCAGAAACAGAAAGGCATTAGATACTGAAATGTTGTCTATCTTTTTAACCGACTTCAGAAAGGAGGAGGTTCTCAATTCGATTGGTATTTTTTTAATACATAGATTAAGAATTTAAGATTTGGGTACTACCTTATTTTATTAGAAAATTGTTGTATTATCCAAATAAAGTCATAGAGGTTACTTTGGTAAATTACGCTTTACAACTCTTGTTCGATAATGTCCAATATTCTGATAATGATGTTTTTGTTGTGGGGATATGTTTGTCTTTATAATGGCCATATATATAACACTAGCTGACCCGCGCAACTTCGTCTGCGTCTCTCAATAGTAATAAATTTTCTCCGTTTTTGAAACATTCTTTATTGGTGCTCCGCTCCTATTGGTCTTAGCGTGATGATATATAGCCTATAGCCTTCCTCGATAAATGGGCTATCTAACACTGAAAGAATTTTTTAAATCGGACAGGTAGTTCCTGAGATTAGCGCGTTCAAACAAACAAACAAACAAACTCCTTAGCTTTATAATATTAGTATAGATTATTCAACTACTCGCTTTTGCTACGCGGCGCCGCCCGCGTGTACGTCGTTGATCGCAGTAAATAGTATACCTATGTCCTTTATCAAGAATCAAACTATCTCCATGCAAATTTCATCTTAACCGGTACAGTATTGATTCCCCATACAAACTTCCACATCGCTTTACACGCCCTTAGAGGATGATTTATGGGATGAAAACTATCCTATGTCCTTTCCCAGGACTCAAACTATCTCTATACTAAATTTCATTTAAATCGGTTCAGCGGTTTAAGCGTGAAGAGTTAACTGACAGACAGACACACTTTCGCATTAAAATATTAGTATAGATAAATCATTTTGTTCTGATAAGAAGAAGAAAGAAGTTATTATAAACCAACCAACAATACCATCACAAACCCATCATCATCATCATCATCATCAACAGCCTTTAACAGTCCACTGCTGGACATAGGCCTCTCCTTAAAAAGGAGGTTTTGGCCTACTATACCACGCTGGCCAGACGGGTTGGTATAGGGTTTGTGTCAAGTTTTCCTTCTCTCTGCAGTGCTGTTGTCCTGCGTATTTCGCTCCCTTAGTCGCCTCTTACGACACCCACGGGATGAATAGGGGTGGTGACACTGTATTCTTAATCCGTCACCACACGGGAACCATCACAAACCCATGAATGGTCAAATAAACCAGAAGAAAAATATCTGTCCTTACCTTTTTCCATTAAAATCTGTATCGAAGGATTCTCCACGATAAGCGACTGGATACTCGGTCCATCTTGCAATATTTTTTTATGAAGGTTTCTTATTATTTCCGGCTTTGGTGTGATTACGAAATACGACCAGCTGTCGTCTTCTGTCGAATCGTCGGTGTCAATAAGGCCTTGGACACCATGGCAACTGATAAAGACCACCATGCACAAAATTAGAGTGAAATTTTTGCGTCGCGCCATCGTCCCTGCCAACGTACTACTGGGGAAAATCTATATTAATATAAATAAGGACTATCTAGAGGGTCATATGTCTGTGAACCCGTTATCTGAGCGTTCAATGCGAATATTATACATACACATGTTTCGGATGTTTATGAACATAAGAGTTATGTAAGTGGTTCTCTATATAAAATAAAAATATTATATTAAAAAAAAACAGGCACATAACCCGCTCAATGGGAGATAGTTTTTTTTTTGTTTTTTATAAAAGACAACTCTCGCATTAGGAATATATCCTGTGTCGCGGGGGACTTTACAAACATACATGAAACGGACACAAAGAACACCCAGACTCAGAACAATAATTTGTGGATCACACAAAGTGTCGTCCCATGTGGGGACCGAACCCACAACACTCAGCGTAGTAGTAAGTGGCGTGGCGACCGCTTAAACCACTATGCCATCTGTGCAGTCTAGATGATTAGTAATACATAAAGTTATATAAAATAAACTAATATAAATATATATTGTATTGCGTCGTGGGGCTGTGCAAGTCAAGTCAAACTCCTTACTCTCGAAAGAGCGCATAGGGGTGTATTAAAAATAATGTCATTTAAGCCTCTATAGCTTATATATAGGGTTAATTTAAAAAAAATGTTCGCACTCATATATTGAACACTGTGTGATTGTTGACGTACCTCCTTACCATTTAAATTTTGAATTTTGACTGCTGCTAATTTACAATTTATAATCTACAATTTTTTGCACAATTGATTGTTATAATTCTTTAATTGTTTTTTTTTTTCTTATTTACAAAGGCCATTTGTGGCCACTGTCTTTAATCTTTTTTTGTAATGTCCATGTTGTGGTCTCCTATAATTGAAGAAGCACAAGACTTAAAATTTTATTGGCTTTATAACTAGCATGTAAGGTGTATTTCTTGTTGGAGATTCAATAAAATAAAATAAAATAGCTATACCATGAACTAAAAATTTTAACAGTAAGAAAACTCTTCCTACTAACAGTTATACGTCGTAAACACGCAGATATCCCTTTTATTTCTAATACAAAAAAAAACGCACAATATATAAAGTTTAAAAAGATAAGATGAATACAATTCTGTAAAACGCAACTTGCCAACCAATAGCGCAGCTTGTCAAACCAACTTAGTTTGAAATTCAAAGCTGTCACAGCACTGTAGCGTCGTTTGAGGAGTCGGCCCATGTCGTGCGGTGTTCCGCAGGGGTCTGTTCTTAAACTCCTCCCCTGCGGAACACCCTTCGAGCTGATTAAGGGGCTGGGTGTAATTTGTTACGCCGATGACACTTTGGTCACGTCCCGGAGGGTGAACTTACAAGAAGCGGCGCATCTGCCCACCAGGGGAGTCTCTCTGGTGGTTGGGCGCATTAAGGCGCTTTGCTTACGGGTGGCCCTAGAGAAGACGGAAGCTCTCTTGTTCCATAGGCCCCGTCGTAGTCCTCCGCCTGGCGCCTCAATCAATTCGGTCCTCGTACCGGTTCAGGCCCAGATGAAGTTTCCGGATCTGATCCTCGACGAGAGCTAGCTCTTCGACGAGCACTTCCGACAGCTTGCTCCAAAGCTGGTGCAGCCAGCGTCGTGACAAGACGGCTGTACTCGGGGGTTGTCCGGTCAATGGCACTGTACGGTGCACCGGTGTGGGCAGCGACTCTCACCACCCAGAATAGGGCGCGCCTCTGGCGCCCCCAGAGGGTATTGACGGTTAGAGCCACGCGGTTACCGCATCGAAGGAGGCGGCATGCGCGTTGGCCGAAACTCCCCCGTAGGATTTGGAGGCGGAGGTGCTCGCCCAAGTTTATCGGTGGACGGCTGAGTTCTGGGCGGATTGCGGAGGTCGGCCCCCGCCCGAAGAGGTACGCAAGTGGCGTGAATCCGCTCGCTGAGCCATGATGGCATGTTGGTCGTCCCGGCTGGAGACTGCACGTGCCGGTTTTGCCGCCGTCGAGGCGCTCTAACCGGTTATCGCCGATTGGGCAGGGCGGCAGCACGGGACCTTTTCCTTCCGACTGACGCAGGCCCTTTTCGGGCATGGCTGCTTCGGGAAGTATCTGCACTCGGTCGCTAGGATCGGTTGAGCTCGGTTGAGCCCTGCCTGTGACCACTGCGATTGCAGTGAGGACTTGGCTCAGCACACGCCGGCAATTTGCCCGGCTTGGGTGTTTCCACGTCGGGTCCTCATTGCAGTCATTGGAAAGGATCTCTCGCTACCGGCCGTCATACGCTTCATGGCCGGTAGTGACAGTTGTTTTAGCCCGGTCGCATGCTTCTGCTTTGGCATGCTTATGCTTTGGCAGCGCTGTACGCGATGCTGTTTTCTTGGTGTTAGGTTTCTTTAGTAATTTATTATTATTATTATAAAAACAAATTTTTAAGGTCGATTGTCAGAAGCCTTAGAGCTTTAATGCTCTAAGTCAGAAGCATAACACCTAAAATCATCAAAGAACTAAATAATGTGTTTCTACTTTCAGAGCTTTTTCTACGAGATCTTGGCTGGAGTTTGGGTGCGGAATGGGCTTCAGATTAAAGGGCAGGCCATGACTTATATCCAGGCGAATTTCTGCAACTCAATGGTGGACATGGATATATACTGGCTTCAGGTTTGCGCCGCACATCTACCTGCTGACCAGTTTTTGGATATGTGCATTGACATGTAAGTTTAATTCATTACTATAATTTATACAAGAACGCCTAAGTCCGGCTCTATAGGCTTTTAAATTATTCACCCACAAAATATTGTCTTCATGTGTTGTTTCTTTCCTGTTCTTTTTGTATTTCACCATTTATTCATGGCATGGTACGGATTTTGAGTGAAAATGTTTACTATTAGTTTTATCACAAGTTCTCCCTTTACTCCAGAAGTCCAGAGCATTGCTTTCTTCTACTATGTAGCTAAACAATTGACTTGCTCGACATGACCTCAGATGCGTCGGTTCAATTCCTGCGCGATGCCAAGATTTTTAAACGTGATTATATTTATTTTTTACTTACAAAAGAAATGAATTCAAAAAATTATTAGGTATCCATCTGTGTTCTAAGGTACATAGAACAAGTGAAGGTCAGTGTAAGTCTAAATAAGAAATACGTAATAAATCAAACAATATGCTGTATATTATTTCAATGTTATTAAACAAAGACATTGTATATTATTGACATTGTATATTATTGACGACTGGATGGCGTTTTGTTTGTGTAACGGACTGCTATTCCAAAGGTCGCGGGATCGATTCCCGCTCAAGTCAAACATTTGTGTGCATGAACATTTGATGTTTGATTTGGTCTGGGTGTTTCTATGTATAATATGTATGTATTTACAAAAAAAAAAAGTATATATGTATTTATATCAGTTGTCTAGTACCCATAGTACAAGCTCTGCTTAGATTGGGACTACTATTATTATTATTATTATTATATTTGTATCCTTATATCTTTGCGTTCATCTATATCGCTTGTTATATACCTATGTATTTATTCAATACCCCAATTTAGAGGTCCAGACACCAGACGCTGCATGTGAGAATTGATTAATCTGTTTCGTCCGGTTGGACGATCACTCCGGTATTTCGGAAAGGGTCAGTCACACCACACAATAAATATAGATTTTCTGTTTGTAAACATAATACATTTGAAAACATAATAATCGTGTATCGTTTCTGATTGAAGTGGTTACTGTCATAAATGCGAAAGTTTGTAAGGATGGATGCATAGATGTTTGAAGACCAGACAGCGGAATGGGAGATTTGGAACAGAGTCTGCAATAGCACGTAGCTACTTTTAGCTTCTTTTTATGGACTAGATGGCAAACGCGCGGGGGGTTTTTTTTTTAATAATATATATCTCACACACGGCCGTCTGATCCCAAACTAGGCAGAACCTGTACTATGGTAACCAGACTGCTGATAAACATACTTATATATTTTTTAAATAGATACATATAGATAAACTACACCCAGACACAGAACAAATGACCGTGCACACAATATTTGTCCTGGGTGGGAATCGAACCCACGACCTCCGGTTTAGCAGTCAGGGTCACTAACTACTAGACCATCAGGCCTGTCAAAATGGGTAACCTGATGGTAAGCGCCCATTGCTGTCCAATGATACCTGTAACCCTAGAATCCTTAGTGCGTTGTCGCACTAGGGATTCGGGCTTCCGAAAACCCGTACTCGGTGAAAAGAATCGAACGGATTGTTTAACATCGGTTTTCTGCATTTTCCATAAAATATTGATCCCTAATTTGCATTTAAATTGTACTTATATGCGTATGTCAGCATTCAGAATGCAAATTATCTAAGTTTTAAGTTTCGTTCTTGAATGACATGACGACAGAAGAAATAAAACACAAACTACGCACTAGATATGTCCGCGTCATATTTCTAAAAATATGTATCTAACTAATACACTCCTTATTACAAAAATGGCATGTTTTATATTCTCCCATACATTTTTACCCAAGAAAATTTGCCCTTGATACTAACTAATCAAGGCTTGTAATGTTAGTTCTGTGGCTTACCGCCACTTAGTCGTGCTTCGGGTCGGTTAGTATCGGTTAGGCTACACGATGGCTTTAGCCTGTGTGTCTTCTGTATGGACAGGCCGACTTAAAACTAGGGTCCTTTCTTCAAAAAAACATTGTACACGACAAAAAAAAGACACCTCTGTGGTTTGTTTCGACGTTTCTTCCCAGAGTTAGTCCGACTTGTAAAAATATCTGAAAAGTTTTACTTACAGAAATTAATATTCTCATCAGTATTTTTGTTTACATTTTCTGACTCTTGAATTGTAGACGTGACTCGTTTTGTCCCCTGTATCATAAAAAAGAATATGTCGTATATCAGGTAAGGTAAGGTTGCTAGGAAAATAGGGAAATGGAAGTTTGGTAAAGGCCTGTAATATAAGTTGTGTGCATTCTGGCAGACGCTTACTTTCGGTCTGTTGTGGAACTTTTATTAATCATTTACAAAAACTACATCTTTATTGATGATATCAGGGGTTAAATATTATCATCCGTAACCCTGATACTCCTATCGTCAATTGAACATCGGGGGAATTACCGCATAAATATTGCCATATTAAGTAATCATTATTACGACTTTCACTGCATCGACAACCAGAGAGTCATAGTCCTTATTGGTGTTTTTGTCAGCATACCGGTATGCTATTGTAAACTAGAAATGTGAATTTAAATCAGTATTTTTATTGTCGGTAAAGCCATGACTTGAAAACGCCATCATCGTTTTGGGATTTTGTTCATCATCATCAACAGCATTTAAATGTCCCCTGCTGGATATACGCCTCTGCTTAGAAAGGAGGTTTTAGCCTACTATACCACGCTGGCCAGACGGGTTGGTATAGGGTTTGTGTCAAGTTGTCCTTCTTTTTGCAGTGCTGTTGTCTTGCGTAGTTTGCTCCCATAGTCGCCTCTTACGACATCCACGACATCCTTATGTTGATTTCTCATAATTGATATGTTCACAAACTTTCAATAATTATGTATACATAGATACAGGTATTACCGTCACGTTATAGTTATACATATACATATATAGCTGTGGGCATCACAATTTCGCCAGGAACCGAAAAAATATTTTTGACACAAATATTTTAGTAATTTATTTTAATAATTCGTTTTGACACCAACTCAAACTCAAATATCTTTATTTCATAAAATCTTTAAAATTCTTTGAAATCGTCTCTTGTGTAGACTCTAAAGTTTAGACAAAACACACAATAGCAGCAATCTCTGTTTTGTCAAATATTTAGCAAACTAAATATATACGTATAGAAAATCTCTTATATGCCTGTGCCGATCTACAACCGCCCGTTTCCAAGGGGTTGAGCATCATGAGAAGAAAGGGCAAACAAACTCACGGCAGCTCTTTTGAATCACACAAAGCCTAATGCTTATAGTCAGGCAAATGTATTGCAACTACTGTAGGCTATTGTGACTCAATCTGAGTCTGACTCCTCCAAGTTTGAATTGAACTGCATGTAAGAAAACCTTACATATTAAAGTATAGGTTTTCAAATATAATATGTAAGAACGTTTATTAAGAATGACAGCAATACATGAGGGATTATATCATCTCCTTATAATTATCTTATAATTAATTTGTTATGTTCATGCTTCTAAGAATCGTATCTCACGATAACCCTAATACCGCAGTTGATGTGTCATATTTCTATATTTGGTGGAGTAGGACTATTGAAAACCTGGTTGCCGTTTTCAGTGAGTGAATGAGTTAACCAGAACCCAAAACTCCCTCCCCCTATTTCTGGCAGAGGGTAGCCACGCACTTGTGACTCTTGAGTTGTAGGAGTCCATGAGCGGCGGTAGGCACTTACCATCAGAGGGCCAATTGCGAGTTTATTTCACTTCTACTCGATCATCACAGGTGCAAAATAAGTTTATTAGATTTATTTACATGAAGTTGTACGGAGTCTATCCTTTTTATCAGTTAATTTATCTAATGAACTGGGGGTCAGGAGGGAACTCACACTCGTAACCTATATCTTTAAGGTGATTAGAGGGGGGATACATAATTCAGATGTGTTAGAGAAGGTGGGTCTGTATGTCCCAGACGGCTACGCGGTGCCGCGCGCACGCACTAACTTACTGCGCGAGGCACCTTTGACGCGCGCGCTGCGCACACTCAACCTCATAGCTGTGGATATATTTTGTTGTTGTTTGAGTGAATCCACAATTATAGCACTAAGTAAAATTTGTTTAAGTAAAATTAAAACCTCCTTCCTAAGGAGAGGCCTATGTCCAGCAGTGGACTAGTAAAGGCTGTTGATGATTGATGAAAATTTGTTACTTTAGTTTGTAATTTAGTTTAGGTTTAAATTAAATTAATGTAACTACAATATCGCATTGGAAAAATTCTGTAAAGATATTGTAAGAAAATAAATAAAGAAAATCACGGTGACCGCGTTCGGCGCTACGTTTAACCCGCACCGAAACCTCCACCAATCGCAACGATAAACGCGCGCGCTGTCGAGAACGAGTCGATGTCAAATAAACTTGCACTCAGCTCTCTGGTAAAAAAACCATTTCATGCTGTTGCTACTCCAAAAAAAATTATAAAGTGCACTGATTGCGCAGTGGTTGAGGCTTTCACCTAGTCGCTTCCAACTGCGCTGAGTGTTGTGGGTTCGATCACATGGGACGACACTTTGTGCGATCCACAAATTGTTGTTATGAGTCTGGGTGTTCTTTGTGTCCGATTCAAGTGTGTGGGTTTAATAAATAAAAGTTTAATATAGCATTTCAGGAGTTGATTTAATATATATTGGTGTGTATGTAGGTTCGGCGTACGGGAATGGCTGAGCATGTTGCCCATGTCACCAGCACAGGCGGCTGAACAAGACGCCATGGTTGAGGGGCTTCTCACCTTCCTCGCAATACTCGTCTCCTCGCGAACTAACCTCAGTAAGTGTCTATTTCAATGTTTTTGTTTCTATGATTGTGGTTTAATATATTTCAGTCTTAAAATAAACAAGACAATCTGGATCTAAATAATGCTTTGGATTTTTTTCACCTGTTTGTTGTGGTAAGACGTATCTACATATGTACAAATGTTTAATTCTTTTGTGGACGCTTCAAAAACACAAAAAGCTCTGCATCGATCGAGCGCAAATTTTGACACTATATACAACTCACCCGCTAGACTGATGGATCTGGATGCGAAAAGCCCAAAATCGATCTAAGTGGCCTGCCATGGGAGAGGGCTATGTCCAGCAGTGGACTGCGATAGGCTGATGATTATGATAATGATGACGATGAAACACTAAACTATTATAGCAATGTTATAATAAAATGATGTGATGTTTTCTAATATTAAAATATGTAATATTCCTTCTCATACAGTGCTGGATTATTTGAACGGAATCGGAAGTATTAGAAACTTTAACATTCTATGTAATTTTGAATACCTCTATAGGTAACGACGAGCTGACCCAGTCCCGGTTAGAGGTGAGCACGCTCCTGGCTGCGGGCGACAAGACCCACTCCCAGCTACTAGAGCTCATGCCCGAGAGGTCGGGAAACGCGCACACTAGGAACTTCGAAACTGTACTCAAAGAGGTAAGACTGTGTGTATTTACTGGTGAAGATACATGTATATGTCTCTCTTTATTACGTTCACTAGCTGACCCGCGCAACTTCGTCTGCGTCTCTCAATAGTAATAAATTTTCTCAGTTTTTTAAACATTCTTCATGGGTGCTCCGCTCCTTTTGGTCTTAGCGTGATGATATATAGCCTATAGCCTTCCTCGATAAATGGGCTATCTAACACTGAAAGAATTTTTCAAATCGGACCAGTAGTTCTTGAGATTAGCGCGTTCAAACAAACAATCAAACAAACAAACAAACTCTTCAGCTTTATAATATTAGTATAGATAATGACGCATATAGCTAGAAAATCGCACATGAAGATGTTTAATACAGAAAATAATGTTAAAGGTTTGGAGCGTACTCCTTCCTAAAAGGCTGGCAATGCGTTTGTGACTCCTGAGTTCCAGACGTTCATTTTTTCTTTTTTTTTATGCCATAAGGGGACAAATGACCAGACGGGTCACCTGATGGTAAGCAACTCCCGCCGCCAATGGACACCTGCAACTCAAAAGTCACAAGTGCGTTGCCGCCCTTGGAGTCCCTCCCGCTCGGGTCAGCGGGAGGGGGGATTTGGGCTCCGGTAACCTCACTCACTCAGTGAAAGGCAACGAAAGAATTGCTTAACGCCGGTTTTCTGTGAGGCCGTGGTATCACTCCGGCCGAGCCGGCTCATTCGTGCCGAAGCATGGCTCTCCCACGGTAAAATTGGCGGCGATGGTTACTTTCCATCAGGTGACCCGTCTGCTCGTCTGCCCTCTCTAACACAAAAAAAGTGTTAAAATTCTTATGAAACAATTATTTTAAACGTTGCTGTGAGTTGTTCATGCTTTCCTACCTTAGTTACTTAACGGTTTATTCTTAAATTTGCACTCGTTGTCACGTTTTTATCCAAAAAAAAAGTACTGTATCTCAGGCGCTACCTGAATTGATGGTCAAAATCTATATAAACACAAACGAAGCTATACCCAAAAACTGATTGAATTTATTTTGTCTGATGCTTAAATAAGTTATGTCAGTATTAAAATTTTGTTAAAAAAACATAGATTAAATATATTATCTGTTTTTCAGTTGTCGACATACCGTCCACCTCCGAAGGGCTCTGAAAATCTGGAGCAGGGTCTGTTCGTACCTCAGCCAATAGTGTGGGAGCAGTACTACGATCCCCTCCATGTGTTGCGACGCGCCGTCCATAGGAGGGACTTCCACGCTTCCATGGAACGTTTCACCACATAGTCAGTATATTGTTTTTATTACATTACATAGTTATAAAAATTAAGAGATATAAAAAAAACAATAAAATAATGATTTTCAATCGGTTGTTAATAGGTAGTAAATAAATGAGTGATAGTAAACACAGCTTCGAACATTTAGTGTTTGAATTCGACAATGAAAAAAATTGAAATCCATAATTTTAAAGTAATCTTTAGAATACCTTCGAAACATATAAAATTTTTGCTCATCTTAAAAACGGTCAATTTTTTTTTTAACTAATAAAATTTTATTCCTTTTAACCCCGCACTGATTATAGCAATAAAGTCTTTTTGACTTATTATTATATATCATCTCGTAAAAAAGTGACAAGAAATCGATTAAGAAACCGATTCGTACCAACAGTATATATAGTCGTGTCAACAGTATATGCCATGTGGCATTAAGTCCGCTTCGTGCTAGTCGTAATGCAGAAAGCGTAAAAGGAAAAAAAATATATAGGAGTAATCCGGTGATACGTTAACAGCGTTCGCGAGAAGCAAAAAGCGGGTGGAGCTCCGGAGAGCGGAGCGGGAGTCCTGTGGCCGCCGCTGCGCGCGGCCGTGGGCGGCGGCGGGTCTCTGGGCGACCCGCGCGCGCTGTGCCTGTCGGGCGTGCTGCACGGCGCGCTGCTGGGCGTGCTGCACCGCGGCGTGCACCGGCGCGCGCCCGACGCGCCCGCGCCGCACGCGCCGCCCGACCACGTGCTCGCGCTCGCCGTCTACCTGCTGCACGTGGCCGCCGACCTGCACGCCGAGCGCGCCGAGCGCCACGCGGTGCGTACTCGCCGAGACACGCTCGTCGTCGCCCGGTCTACCTTATGTTTATTTTTAAATGATCGTCGCCAGAACGACGTGATGGTGCCCGAGACGGGAGGCGGGCGCAACGCGGTGAGCGGCGTGCCTCTGCTGGGAGCCTTCGCGGGGGCCGCCGTCTGTGACAACGCGCGCACCGTCGTCACCAGCGTGCCGGCCGCGCCGCGCCACCACAAGCAGCACGCCTACCCCGCCCAGTACCACCACCATCACCACTCTGACAGTGCGTATACACGCCGTGCTACTTCCGTCCACTACCACCACCGTTTCAACAACACGTATACCATTCTACGCTTATCATCGCATCAAATTGCTTATCTTGTACAGTAATTATAATGTACCTCTTATTAGTGTCAAATTAGAATAGTAATTCTAATTCAACACTAACTAAAAAAAGAAAACCTAAAACAAACCCTGTACCGACCCGTCGGATAAGTAGTATAGTAAGCCAAAACCTCCTTTCTATAGCTTTCTATAGAAAGGAGGTTTTGGCCTATATCCAGCAGTGGACTGTTAACGGCTGTTGATAATGAATTCAACAATATTACGATAAACAAGTTTAAAAATTTCTTAAAATATAATATAACTTAGTATATGATTTCTTACAGGCGACACGGAATGGGAGCCATCAGAATGTGAAGCCACCAGGATACCACTGCTAACCACCTCTGCTTCACTACCAGCCACTAGTTCTGCCCTCGCCGTGCCACAGCCCTTAGAGGTATTAACTAACTATACAATATATAAAAAAGCAATAGACACATTTTATACTTTGATAGTATGTAATTTCTGGATGGAAAATTTACTAATTAACTGAAAGCATATGTAATAAATTCAAACCAGAAATTGTTATATTTACCATGAAATGTTATTTTATATAAATTAGGTACAGAGGAGTTATGCGACGGCCTTGCAAAAAAATCAGTGTTAGGTACTTCTATCGTCGGATGTCACCGCTTCCCCCCCCCCCCTCCGTCACCTCTTTGGTTGACATCTAAACGTTAAATATAACCAGACCTGGAAGTGTAACAATGTTACATTGCCATTCAGAATAACAGCTCCAATAGTAACTATGTCGATCGGCAGGTGGCGCGGGGCGACTCGATGGTGGACGACACGTCCGACGGCGGGGGCGACGCGCCGCGCATACGAGCTTTGGAGTCTATAGACGTACGTTTACCTCGCTTGAGTTAGCCTTCCTATGCCTCTTAGTAGCTAAGTAACTACTACTCCTAACAGAATACAACTGTCTTTCATTTTCACTGTAACAACAATTCAACAGCAGCCTTTGATAGTCCACTGCTGGTCTGGTGACGGATTAAGAATACATAATGTCTCCACCCCTATGGGGTAGTGACAATTTATATTCTTAATCCATCACTACACGGACAAACTGCCACATCAACCAAATCTATACTAATATTATAAAGCTGAAGAGTTTGTTTGTTTGTTTGTTTATTTGAACGCGCTAATCTCAGGAACTACTGGTCCGATTTGAAAAATTATTTCAGTGTTAGATAGCCCATTTATCGAGGAAGGCTATATATCATCACGCTAAGGCCAATAGGAGCGGAGCACCAATGAAGAATGTTTCAAAAACGGAGAAAATTTATTACTATTGAGAGACGCAGACGAAGTTGCGAGGGTCAGCTAGTTATAAATATTTGTTCATTAAACCAGAAGACAACAAATGACTCCTAATATTCCAAATATTCCAGCTATTTAATTCACAGGTGACCCTTTCCATCAGGGGACGGGTCTGCTCGTTTGCGCCTCTTCCTCTCCTCTCCCATAGAAAAAACATATATATTTTTTTATTCTGCTTAATGTTAGTAATTTCCTATGATCATACAATTGTATCTTCAGCAGGACATACGCCAGAATGATAGACAACAATTAGCTTTGCCAGCGTTTGACTCTGACATGAGCCTTGCTTTGGCTGCCACACCTGAAGACCTGGACACTCCCCCCGTGCCCATAGATTATGGTAAGTGAATAGTAAACCATGATTTGCACTCTAAAAAATACACGCATACAAATCATGGCAAGAACTTAAAACTCAAAGGTCTACAATTTTTTTCATGTCTTTATTATTTAGCTACTTTCAGAAATAAGTATTATTAAAACAATAATTTCTTGGAACCTGATTGGTCAAGTGCGTCACTATTTTCTTAACGCGAATGGACTGTGTAACTTTAACTTAGTAGAAAGTCAGTGCTGTATACATCAACAATGATGTTATGGGTTCAAGATTTTATAATTAGGCTATGGATTCAGATATTTGGATAGTATTTTATCAGTTTCATATTTCTTTACGAACATGAAATAGGATTATTACACTGTTTCGCATAAATATCAGTTTATGAGCAAATTTCCGCCATCGTTCCACACGGCAAAAATTTTATCCTTATTACCTGGATAGTTGGCGCTCCACTACTGTGCGCTTTTCGAGACAATTTTTGCCCTGCACAACCAATCTGTGGAACGGGTTATCGTCTGCGGTATTTCCGGACCGATACGACCTTCAAGCCTTCAAGAAAAGAGCGTACTCCTTACTAAAAGGCCGGCAACGCGTTTGTGACTCCTGAGTTGCAGACGTTCATGGGCGGCGATGGTCACTTTCCATGAGGTGACCCGTCTGCTCGTCTTCCCTCTCTAACATAAAAAAAAATGTGTTAAGAAAGTACAGGGGAAAAATTTGCTATGCTGCTTTATTTCTACTTCATTATTTGGTCGTATAATCACAAATACTACTATTTCAACCATATATAAATAAAATTAAAACCTATTATAACGTCTGTAACCTGAAAATTGTTACCACCCCAATTCATCCCGTGGGTGTCGTAAGAGCCGACTAAGGGAGCAAACTAAGCAGGACAACAGCACTGCTAAGAGAAGTAAAACTTGAAACAAACCCTATACCAACCCGTCTGGCCAGCGTGGTATAGTAGGCCAAAACCTCCTTTCTAAGGAGAGGCCTATGTCCAGCAGTGGACTAGTATAGGCTGTTGATGTGATGATAACGTCTGATTTAAATTCCACTCTATCCGTAATTATACGTTTTTTTTTTATATCAGTGTCGGTAACGGTTTCGGATATCGCTACATATTGTTCATTCAAACTAATAACATTGCTCGTTTTTATTACGATACGCATCAAAATGATTTGAAGTAACTCATTATGAAGGCTAATAAGACAATATATTGTATTGTGTAAAAACAATTGTCATCTATACACAGATATGGATGGTGGTGAATGGATGCTGAGTCTGCGAGGCACGCCACCAGCCCTGCCCGCTCCTGAGGAACAAGGGTCTACCACACAACCGCAGCCCTCCACCAGCAATCAGGTATTCATAACTAATGCAGTCTCAATAGTTTTTTTTACTGTCTTTTTCATTCTTGTTATACTATCTTAAGACTTACTAATAATATATATATACAAATTATTTATTATTAATTAAAACACGAAAAAATATTAGCCCTATTTTGCGACAGTGGCTATTAGCCTCTACGCACATCCCTGCCATTAACTAAAAAGAAGATATAATTTTTGAAGTTTTCATCGTGTTTAGGGTTCCGTACCTCAAAAGGTAAAAAAGGAACCCTTATAAGATAACTTTCTTGTCCGTCTGTCCGTGTGTCACCACCTATTTTCCTAGAGAGGGTAGACCTAGGTAGTAGAAATTTATACCAGATACTTAGGTCTATGGTCCCTATTAGGTGTATATAAATCAAGATCCTGAATCAACACTATAAACAGATATAGGCAAATTTCGATTTTCGCGAAAACTTGTAAGTACCAAAATTTACCTTAATTTTCAACTTTTTTTTGTTTTTCTGAATTTTATCTTTACTTGTGCTGTAAGACCTTGCTTTTAACCAAAATTGACAATTCTAGGTCAACCGGAAGTACCCTATAGGTTTTGGGGTCGAAAACCTTTAGGGTACTACCCAGATTTTATGTAGATTACGTAAAATCAGGGTAGGCACGGAACCCTGGGAGCACGAGTTCGACTCGTACCTGACCGGTTTTTTATTGTCAATCAACTAAACTTATGATATTGTTTACAGCTGCAGCTACACACACAATCAGAAGAGTCAGTACCAGTGAATGAATCAATAATATCCTTGTTACTCAAGTTACACTCACAACTGTCCGGCAGACTGGATTCGTTTTCCTTAGACGAGCCAGCACCGGAGACGCAGGAACCCATCGGTGAGGGAATCCGTCTTGAACACTTTTAGTTTACAAACTTTGTTGAGTATCGATTTTTGTATTAAATCATTCTGTTGTCATTCATAAGATTCACACTCTCTCGCCCACATCCCTAGCGTAACTGTATTAAGTAAGATGGCCGAGTTGGTCGATGCTCTGCAAAATAATAAATAAAAATAAAAAACAAGGAAGTGTTCTTTTTCTTAATAGAAGAGAAAAGTCTCCAGCTCTCATATACCTTCAACAAACTTAACTTTATGTAATAAAAATACACAGCGTCACAATAATAATGTGCACTTCCTTAATACTTGATTGCATTCTACTTTGTAGTTACTGATTGAAATATGTTGAATACTATTTCCGGTACAAAATTGCTCCTAGAAGCCTGTGAACGCACCAGGTTTCTGCGGTTCTGGAAGGAGCTTGGTTGGCTAACCTTTTCTAGACGCGTAAATGAGGCTATGGGAGCCCACAACCAATACCGATCCTTGTGTCCGTAGGCGACGGGCCGTTCTTCATCGGGCGCGTGCTGCGCAAGCTGGCGGCGCTGGACTCGCGCTGCGCCGCGGCCATCGCGCACGTGCGCCACTCGCTGTGGCCGCACCAGCGCGAGCGCCAGGCCGAGCAGCGCGCCAGGTAACCGCCACTGCCACGTCACACCTGGAACATACTTCAAGTTCATCATTTTCGACTTTCATGACATTTCAATCTCTTTTTTTCGTTCATGATTCAATCATTTTTTTAAATATTTGGTAATAATTTCATTTCTCTTGGTTCTCGTAGTCTTCATTTTTTTTTCGAGTCATTTTCGTTAAATTCATCAGTTTCAAATAATACGTTACGTCCCTCCAAGCCACTCTTTCCCACTGGGCGCTCTGGACACGTGCCCAAGGCCCCTCGATCGATAGGGGCCCGATTCCTGCCAGATCACCAATCGAAAATCAATATTTATCACAGAAAAACATAATTATTTCGAAAAGTCACTTTGTAATGACTGACTATAATACTTTTTTGTATATTCCAACAAAATAGTTCTCAGCTAAGTTCGTAAAGGCCCCATTTGCCCAGGGCCTCCAATAGGCTAGAAACGGGCCTGCGTCACTATAACATTTTGTATAATAAAATTGTTTTGAACAGAGAACGAAGAGAGAAAGAAGAGCGGTCACGTCGAGCTCGTGACCGCCAGCAACAACTGATGCGAGAGTTCGCGCGGCGACAACAGCAGTTCATGTCGGCTTTGCAGAACATGGAGGGGACCGACGCGGCCACCATGGAGTGGGAGGAGGAGGTGGCGGTCGAGAAGGACTACGACTGCGTTATATGTAACACCACCACGCCTACCACGGCCGCCGACCCCATTGGACTTGTTGTGTTATTACAGGTGAGTGTCAATATCGACATTACCAGAATAATGTAAAAATGAATTGTTCTTTTCTGTTTATACAAACCCAAAATCAGATTTATCCCTTACTAAAATTATTATTATTACTACATGCAAACAGTCTACGCACATTAAATAAGTTGGCTGTCGAGGGACGAGGGTGGATTAGGTCCCGCGCCCTTCAGCTGTTTACTCATTGTGATATAATTTTTCATCATTTGAACAAAAAAAATGTAAAATAAAAAATATATATAAAGAATTTTCCAGTAGAAAATGCCAATGATTTCGACTCAGAATTATAGTCTGAATACATTATTTTAGTATTCGTTACGAAGTCCCTTCCACCCTGTATATTTACCAGTAGTTTGTTGCTATTGTACAGGCTCCGCCTAGTTCGGTTTTCGACGATCGTGGTGACATTTGTGAGGTTTATTATTATTCATCCAAATTTAAACGATAAGGTCACATGAATATATTATATTGAATGAGTAAGTAGAAGACGGAGTGTAATGCGAATGCAAGTAAGATATACGGTACGTGCGTGTGCGCAGTCGACGTCGGTGCTGGGCCACCGGCGGCGCGCGGGCTGCGGGGACGCGCGGCTGGCGCTGAGCGAGGCGGAGCGCGCGCGGCTCCAGGCGCAGCACGACACCACGGCCGCCGCGCACCACTACCGCCTGCACGACGACCTGCACCAGCACTTCGACCAGGTACGCACGCCTTCACGTACTGTCATTTGATTTATTCGTAATTGGAATATGTTAGAATGCGGTACTATTAGTCATAATAAATTCGTAAACATATAAAAAATATATTGTTTTTCAAATATATATTTTTTTTAATAAAAAAATATTTATTTAGAAACACAAAGAAAATAAATTACATGAATGCTTAACAAGAAATAAAATTAGTTAGCAGATGTTATCAGATAAACATTAAGAGCGGTCCCCACACTAAGCAACCCTGTATCGTGGGGTCCCAGCCAAACGTATTTACATTAAGGTATAGAGCTCCTGCACTTCACAATCTTAGACAAATTAGAAAAACAGAAAAAAAACAAAACCTTCATGAGCTACCTAAAATAAAACAATTAGAAAATTCAAATACAGATTATTATTATTTAAAATTTAAACTACTTGCATAAATACAAAAAGTATGACATTAAAAATTAAAACTCATAAGTCGGGCAAAGCTTTTTTCACATTTTATAATTATACAAATTCAAGACGTTTTTTTTCTAAATTTATTAACTATATCTAACAAAAAAAAGTGTAATTTTGTTCGATAACTTGTTGCCATCTTGCAGGTAGTAACATAATAGGGAATATGCATGTATTTTTTTTATATTTTTAAACGATTCTACTAGTTACTACATTACCAAAAATAAATATAACACATCCGAAATATAAACCGTTAAGCAAAAAAAATTATTAAAATCACTATCATTTTGGGGCAATTTGAACACGTCCATTTTGGCGCGCTTTTTTTGTGACGTCAGATTACACTTTCAGACGAATTCGATGTCAACAACGGAGTGAAGTTCACAAAGTTTGTGAAAGTTAAAAAAGTGAGTGATAAAAATTAACTTATTACCATGGAAAAGCCAATAAAAACTTATTATAAATATTGTGCCGTTCCTTTGTGCCCAAATCATATCAAAACTGCACCTGACAAAGTATCTTCAGTCATTGAGTCTTTCTACACGGGAATTTAATAATTTAACACTGAAAACGTATTAGTTATTAACTTAAAATGAAAGAAATAATCACCAGAAACCAAATATTACAAATACACACAACTTGTTGACACTCTTGACAGTGTAGGTTGACGTCACGTTTTATTCAACCAATAGCGTTGCGTTTTAGAAATTTGCGAGGGAATCTTAAAAAAGCCAATTTTTGATGATTAAATTTCACTATTAAATTATAATAAATTTCAAAAATAATTGTATGGGTATCTTTTTTTAGCAATAAAAATTACAAATAAAAATATTTTGTCCATTTTGGTGTCACGTGCATATTCCCTATACCACTACTGTAAAAGTTTTTTTTGTTTTCATAAAAAGTACCGCTGTAAAGATTCTGATAAATAAGACTAGATATAAGACTTAGGATACATTTATTGTTTTTCAAAGTATATTCCCTTGCAATTTATGCATTTTGCATTCGCCGAAACCACTGTATTATTAAAGGAAACGTACACACACACGTATTACATGCCGTATCCATGGAGTACAAAGCTTCCGAACCTTCAGATGCACATGTAAAATGTTTTGCACTTGGCTCATCCCAATACCTAACAAAACAGAATTTTGCTGTAAGTTGTTTGTTACTTTCAATAAGTTCCATACGGTGTCAATATTAGAGTCTGTAACCACACCTTCAACGTACCTCGTCATGGAGAACAAACCAAACTACGAATACAAAGAGCTGCGACGTGGTGCTCCATCCCCAAATGCCAATTGAACTCTCTGGCAACTCTCTTGTTGACTTAAGCCACAACAAAAATTATTGAACGAAAATGTTCACAGTTGAATTCATTTTGATAGCGACACACAATTTTCGAAAGGATGTCACAATGAAAAAATTAATGACAGTCTCGCAAATTTAAAAGTAACTTGTTTCCAAAAGGGTTCCATTTTTGAATTCCATAATTGTTTTTTTTTTATTCTTTTATTGGAAGTGGTCAGATCCAGGCACTCAGTATGTGCACCAGGGACTTCCTTTCTAGGGTATACCTGGTTCCCCGGCTATTAGTACCCGGCGACATGCCACCGACAGGTGGTATCCGAGGGGATTTCCGCACGGAAAAAAAAAGGCACTCAGTATGTCCTAACGTATTAGACAGTCGTTAGCTTAACACAAGCTCAAGGTCTTAACACTTTCCAACCAAGTTCCCTCAATTTTTGCTTAGTAGCAAAAGATATATTCAGTATGGTCAATATGATTTAATTTTAGCCTTTTTTTTTCAATTACTTGAGTCATTAATTGTTGGCAGTAAGGCAGTAGATATCGAAAGCTTATAATAAATGATATTCTGCTAGTCTTCGACCATATACACAGACATGTATTCGTGACCCCCAGGAGTCGTGGCTGGTGAGCGTGAGCGTGGGCTGGGAGGGCGGCGTGCACGTGGCGTCGTGCGGGCACCACCTGCACCTGCGCTGCCTGCACGCGTACCTGCGCGCGCTGGCGGCGCCGCAGCGGCCGCACAACCTGCACGTGGAGCGCGGCGAGTTCCTGTGCCCCGTGTGCCGCCAGCTCGCCAACTGCGTGCTGCCGCTGGCCCCGCGCGCGCCGCCCGAGCCCCGCGCGCCCCGCACCTTCGCGCAGAGCGCCCAGCGCGTGGCCGACCTGCTGGAGCGCGACCACCCGCCGCCCGTGAGTCTTCAACCGTCAGCTATATACTTACACTGTTACAAACATTCAAAATAATTTAAAACTTGACCTTTTGAAGCGAACTGGAATAACTATCTCAATGTAATTGATCTCCTGATCTCCTTACGAATATTTTAGTAAACAAGTTTTTTTCTCATAGAACTAAAGCATATTTTAATTTACAAAAACTCCTAAAATAGGTTCTTTCACCTATCAGTTTATGTTGAAGTGTATTATATACCATAACGATTTACTTTTAATAAATAATATAGAATTTTGCAATAAATCCATCAGCTCAAATAAATTAAACTGAAACATACAGGTATACGAGTATATATTGCAATTCGTTATAAACGCCTTGAAATCAGTGATGTTGTTAACTTAAGTTGACAGCTAGCTAACAGCCAGAACAGCTATATCAGCATCATCACAAATATGATATTTTATATATTAATATATTATAGTATATATATATATATGTATATGTATGTTCCCTTATTTCTTCTCTTCTCTTCCGGTACGAAGCAGCATAATATTTATTTCTTTTTATGTTCACGTTTAGATTCTCAACCAAAGTGTAGTGCACCTTTCATTAATTTCTACACCACCCTACGGTAGACTGGTAGAGAATCCTATTTCATTATATCCGCCATTGTACATTCTGTGCATAATATTTTAAAATAAATAAATAAAATTATTTATCTCACATAGCATTACATAATTATGGTGTTACATCAAATCACAGGCACCTAGTCGATTGTCAGAAGCAATGGGCAAAGCCATGGAAGATATGACAGCTACGGCCGGAGGTAAACTGAAGCAGAGGTACGGGTCATCGCCCGCCGCTATTTTCACGTTCGTAGCATCACTTGTGCGAACGAACTTGGAGTGTGAGCTGGTGCAGAGGGGGGGAACCTTACAGACTTGTGTCGCGCCGCGGTACAAACCCAGAAACGAATGTATAGGTATGTGTAGATAGTATATTATTACAGATTTTATTTGTTGAGACATTGATTTGTGAAAATGGCGATGTTGAGCACTTTAATAATATTTAAAGAAGTAAATTAATTGTTTTAGTAATGTACATATGTAATGAGTTACGTCCATGTGATGACGGAGTATTACAATTTTTATTCCTCTCATGGGAGTCGTAAGAGTCGACTAAAGGACCAAACTACGTAGGACAATAGTAGTTGGCTGGTATAGTGCGCTATAACCTTCTTTTAAGGAGAGGTCTATGTCCAGCTGTGGACTATTAAAGGTTGTTGATGTAATTTAATGTTTAAAAGCAAATGATTTTTGACATAGTTTGAATATATTTGTTATTAATTTTATTTATTTGAAGCTTTTACATCCAGTGGTTATTATCTAACGTAAATGATTGGCGTGATGAGAACGGTCATTAGTTCTGTGGATGGGTGTAATTATTGTATGCAGTTATTCTAATGTATTCCAAGTTTGGGATTAGACGGTCTTGCAAGGGGTGTGTAAACAAATAAAAATGTATATATGTAAAAATGTAGTTTTTTTAAATTATACAATATAACATTTTAAAATATGGTATTATAAATATTGTCCTACATTAACATCGAATATTTTTAATTTTCATCGTCATCATCGACAGCCTTTAACAGTCCACTGCTGGACATAGGTCTCTCCTTAGAAAGGAGGTTTTGGCCTACTATACCACGCTGGCTAGACGGGTCGGTATAGGGTTTTCCTTCTCTTTGTAGTGCTGTTGTAATGGGTAGTTTTAATTAACACAAAGGTGTGAAGTAATTTTTTAGACATTTGGTTGAGACGTTAACTAATCATGTGGTGTGGTGTCAGTGCCGCTGCTGGTGGTGGCGGGCGCGCACACGCGCGTGCTGAGCAGCGCGGGCGCGGGCTTCGGCGCGCTGGAGGCGTGGCGCGCGCTCGTGCCGCCGGCCGGCGAGGGGGGCGCGGGGCTGGCGGGCGCCGCCGTGCCGTCCGCCGCCGCCGCGCAGCGCCCCGTGCCGCTGCTGCTGCGCGACCCGCTGGCGCTGCTCATGCAGCTGCTGCTGCTGGCGCCGCCCACGCCGCCCTACATCGACATGCGTGAGTGCCTTCTGTTCATACTGCTTCATATATATCGATACGAGGGGGGATCAGAAACTTCTTGAGCTATTTAAAAAAATTGAGACAATTCAAACAAAACTATTTTATGTTTCTACAAAATCTCCCTCTAATTTAATGTATTTTAAATATCGCTTCTCTAAATCTCTCATTCCTTCTGCAAAAATCGTTTTCTTTCCACTAAAAAACTCATCTACGAAAGCCATAAATAAGATCCTTTAAATTTGAGAATGAGTTAAAATTTCTAGGGACTAAATCCAGAGCATATAATCGATAGTCAAAGACATCAAAACCAACACTGCGAGTTACCTTGAACGCATCTTCCGATCGATGAACGGAAACTTTATCATGAACAAACAACATGAACGATGACAATTTTCATCGATTTATTTTAATCACGTCACGGACTTTCAATAATAGTCTATCGATGTCTGATTCGATCAAACTCGAACTCTCTTTATTTCACAAAAAAAATCAAAATTGTTTGAAATCGTCTTTTATGTAAACTCTAAAGTCATAGATCAACACACACAAAAACAACAATCTCTGTTTTGTCAAATACATAGATCAGGCACAGATACTTTATGACTACACGTGATTAGTTTTTCTTCACATTTTAAAGTTTTTAACAACTCTTTATGCAAAATATTTTCAAACGGTATAAAATTCATAAATATTTGCGACTGCTCTTTAAAATTAATATAAACTAACTACCCTACTACCCCAAACTACTCTAAAATTATTATTGATATATGAACTATAAATACACCGATAAATAATTATCCAATTTACAGAAGAATTTACGTGCATAGTCCGCGCCCTGTACTCCCTAAGCTACTACCAAGTGGTGTGCCAGTTCATAGCGAGCGGCAGTGCGGAGTTCCGCGCGGCGCTCCTGGGCCCGGCCCGACCTGGTGAGCCGGCCGGGCTCAGGTCCGCCGCCAAGCTCTTGCTGGCCGCTCTGGCAGGATCTGACCTGTTCACGGAGGATGGACCTCCGACGCAACCCGCCCCACATGACAAGGCGACACCGGATCTAGTCGTAATGGAGAAAGAGGTATGTTCATTTATATTTTATATATTTATTACATTTCATGTTCTTTTGTAAATATATTATTTTTATTTGTCAAATATTGTCAAATATATTTGTGTGCATTTGTATATATTTTTAACATGTTTTCTTAGTTTTTAAATGTGCGTGCGTGCACATGCAAGATTTTGAATTAAAATTTATTTTTATTGAACTGTAATACAATATATATGCATATTACTGAAACATATCTAATACGAGTAAACATTTCCAGCTACAAGAGCTCCTCCTGCCTTTCCTACGTATCGCTGCCCTTCTCCGACATCATTTATATGGTAACGAACTCCCCGAAGTGTCCACTCCTCGACAAGAGTTCGTCCGCCTGGCGTACTACCTGGAGCTGGTGACGGATGGCATGGAGTGGAGCGAGTGGTCGGCGGGCAGGGCTCTGCCGCCGGACTCCGCTATCGCCGCCAGGGCTTGGGCCAGACAGTTGGGGACGGCTGCCGCCAGGGGTCAACTTGCTGTAAGTATAGTGTGTAAGATTCTACAGGAATCTAGGCCAAAACAGAAAAAAATATCAAAATGTATACTTAATCAATTGCCTTTATAAATAATTTAATTTCATCATCAGATCATCGTTTTTGATCTTTAAAACGAATAACATAAGTCCAAACTCCAGCAATTTATTATTAGTTACTTAAGACTTACAATATTTACCTATTGGTCTCATCTAAATAAACACGTTAAGTTGGTTTGTGTACGCTTCAAAGTTGGTTTTTATCTATGTTTTGTAACTACAATGTGCAACAGCGAAGTGTGGCAGCGTATAGCTAATTATTAATAAAATGATAGTCTCAAAATAATACCAATGTGTGCATATTTATAGTATTTCGACGACCGGATAGCGTAGTGGTTTGTGTAACGGACTGCTATTCCAAAGGTCGCGGGTTCGATTCCCGCTCAAGTCAAACATTTGTGTGCATGAACATTTAATGTTTGATTTGTTCTAGGTGTTTCTATGTATAATATGTATGTATTTACAAAAAAGAAAAGTATATATGTATTTATATCAGTTGTCTAGTAGCCATAGTACAAGCTCTGCTTAGTTTGGGACTAGATGGCGTTGTGTGTATGTGGTAGAATATTAAAAAAAAAATTGTATTTAAGGAGCCTAGAAACTAAATGAGAATCACACACACACTAGCCTTAAATATTTACTAAATGTTTAGATTTCCAATTTTAAGAACTTTTTATTTTCGCTTCAAAAGAGAATTTCAATTGAAACAGAAATAGACTGAGCTGTAGAACCTGATAAAAAATATTTAATGTATTATATCTTTTTATTGTATACATTGCATTATTATTTGTATAGATATTAAACACATTTCGGTATAACAATAGGCGGTCTTATCGCTCACGGCGATTTCTTATAGACAACCTTTATACGAATATTGTTAAAAAAAATAGAGTAGCCTGCGATATACTATTACAACCAATTGAAAAAAAAGAAAAACGAATATAAGGCACATATCTTTACAGTATACATACAACTAATACACTTACATACATACAATATATATAAATACATACAGACAGAGGTTCATATATTATTTTAATTCGAAGTCATGGCTAAGTTGAATGTTATCTTAAGAATTTTTGTAAGAATTAGAGGGGGGATAGAGCCTATGGCAGTGGATACAGGAGTGGTGCATGCGCAGGTGCGGCGGCTGCTGCGGTCGATGGCGGTGGAGTGGGTCGGGCCGGCGCTGCTGGCGCTGCCGCGCGACTACGACCGGCTGTTCACGTACTACCACGAGCGCGTGTGCCTGCAGTGCGGGGCCGTGCCCAAGGAGGCGTCCGTGTGTCTGCTGTGCGGCACCCTCGTGTGTCTCAAGCAGCCCTGCTGTCGACAGCACCAGGTCGCCGAGGCCGTGCAGGTACGCACTACGCTCATCGCATTTTTTAATCAGTGAATACAAAACGAATAAGATAATCCAGGACATAAGGACCCTTAATGACATAAAATCCTTTTCAAATATTTTAATTTAATATTCCTTGTACTAAAGCACGCGATGGAGTGCGGCGGTGGCACTGGGATATTCCTGGTGGTGACGTCGACGTACATCATCGTGATCCGGGGGCGACGCGCGTGCCTGTGGGGCTCGCTCTACCTCGACGACTACGACGAGGAGGACCGCGACCTCAAGTGAGTCTCATCACACTATTACTGCCTTTTTTTTTGTTATGTTAGAGGGGGCAGACGAGCAGACGGGTCACCTTATTAAAATTGACCATCACCGCCCATGACCGTCTGCAACTCAGGAGTCACAAACGCGTTACTGGCCTTTTAGGAAGGAGTACGCTCTTTTCTTAAAAGTTTGAAGGTCATATCAGTCGGGACGGGTCGAGCCATCAGTAACTTCTGGTTGAAGGACACATAAAGTCGCCAACACACTCGTATCTCTAATAGTAGACGTGGGCAGCGGAAGGTGCTTACTAGGGATAAAATAAAATCATAATCACTTGTGATAAATCATATGATTTAAAAATCCTCTAATTACACCTGTGACTGATTTACAAAACTACTGCTACTTAACTATCATTATTACGCTAGCGCAAGACTCGCGAAAGTAAAAGGAAGAAAAGTAAAAAAATAGGTCGTAATCTTTGATAAAAAGATTTGTTAATGCCACATCTTTGTCCATGACGAAATCACAATCACATGTGAAATCGCTGTCACAAAAACCAATCATTTCATCCAATGAATATGATTTAAAGTAGCAACAATTTTGATGTTTATGTGCTTACCATAATGAATATGATTTAAAGTAGCAACAATTTTGATGTTTAGTGCTTTACCATCAAGAGACCCGTCTTTACCCTTCTATAACATAATAAAAAATGAAGAATTATAAAAACAAATTGAAACTATGTAAAAGTTTGGAAAAAAGCAATCCTCTGTGGCTAAATTAAACCAACCAATTAACGGCGTTATATTTGAACAATGAAATATAAACTAACTAATGTATATATTTTCCAGACGCGGCAAGCCTCTATACCTCTCCCAAGATAGACTGGAACTTCTGCAGGCGCAGTGGCTGTCGCACAGGTTCGACCACACCAAGCGTACGTGGGTGTGGCACCGCGACTCGCTCTGAGCCGCCACACGCCACACGTGGCTCCACCACATCCCATATCTCCCACTATGGGACGACATGACCGCGGCTACAACGCAAGAGAAACCTTCTGGATCTTAAACCATAAGAAATCCTTCGTGATTAGAAGTGGATCTCAAGGCAAACATGTCATAAATATTTTAGTTCTTTCAAAAATGATTTGTTCTAATTTTGTTTGTGTTATATACATGAGCGTTTTGTTAACATGCTCATTGAGACGATTACTAATATAGGACAGTGGGTACCTATTATATTATTTATGCTATGTCATCTGTATAATCTAATCAGTCAGTGTAGTTCAGATTTCTACTAAGTGTCATCACTTAGGATGATACTTTTCCTTGGCTCTATTTTCTTATTTATTTTAGTTTATCCATAAGGGACAGACAGACAGACAGACCTCACTCAAAGTAACTTGCATTATTTTATCTTTCTTTATTTAGAACTAAATCATTTCATAACTTGGCAACCCTAACATAGCTACGTTATAAAAACTAAACTGAAATGGTTTGAAATTATTTAGTTAATTTTTATCAGAAGGAAATCTATGCCTTTTTATTTTCTTTAGTCAAATATATTTAATAGTTTTCAATGCTTTTATGGTTCTAAACACAATAGGAGAATAAATGAACAGGGTGATGATGTAACGAAGGACAAATACCTTGCCACAACAGAGTTAATTTCTATTCTTGTATAGTAATTGAATGTAGTCGAGTGCTAATATACTAACATAACTAATTAATAGATAAATTAATATTTACCAATGTGAAATTAATTTTGGCTTGAAGAAATTGTAGTACAAATAAAATAATTAAAGTCAATTAAAGATGGCGGCTAGTTATGCTATGTATGCTTGATTAATTTGGACGATAGTGTAACCCCCTTTTATCTAGATGTACAACCGGTATAATTATAAAATTATATGTGGGATCTAAACATTATTTATTTGCATATACATTAATTTCAATAAGTTTGGCTAATGGATGTGTGTTCAAACATTATAGAACAACCCTATGTAGTTTAATATTATACCCAAGTATTAAAAAAGAAAAGATTGAAAGACAAATTTATTCGGAACTCATAAAAATCATATTTTTATATACATTACATACATATTTAGATATACATGAGTAAGAAATGGCTGTTAACTCCCTGTAATGCCACTTAGAGGTAGCGCTGGTACACTATATTGTATTGTATTCTAAACATATACTGATTAAGATAGCTTTCTTGCTAACCTTGTAAGCGCTAAACTAGAAAAACCCAGATATCTATCAAAACCTATAAATTCAACAGTTATTTATTATAAAAAAAATAGTCATTAAATACCAACGAAATTCTAGCGTGTCCGATATGTGTAGTGTTCACTGTTATACAATACGTTCAATACTGCGATACCTTGCCTAAGCAATAACTAGATTACGAAATAATAAAGACTTATATTTTTGCTAGTGGAATAACGATTGCTATTGACACCTATTGCGTGAGATAACACTACGTTGAAATGAAGCTATTATAGTCGGTGCAGTATATGCAAGGACGGATCCTGGGGGGAGGTTCATAAGAGTCATGAAGTCCCATCTGGGCTGGGTCTAGTGTCACACCCCTGAATATATAAGTTAGTGCTGTGTTATTCGGGGTTCTGTTCCGTAATCAACCGGCATTAAATATTATCTCCAAGGTACATTTCAAATTAGCTCAAGTTCTCTCATGCAATGGTATACATATGTGATAACAAGCTCAGTTGTGACGTTAAAGTACATTTAACGGAGTACCTTTGCCTAAATGTTATTTACGAAGTACGATTTACACTTTAAATTAAATATTTCTTGTTCGATTTAAAACAAATTGTTACTATGATGATATAGATTTATTAGTGTTCTATCTATATTGTTTAGTGTGGCCAGGAAAATGGACAAAGGAAAAAATACAGATATTGAAAATAAATAAAAATAGTTATGGTAACAAATGTAATAAAATTAGGGTAGTTACACATTTCAACTTCACTTTCCTGGTCACACACGAAATTGACAAATTGTAATGAAACTAAATGTTGATTGGTGTGCCCAATGTTTGATCAAACCTTATGTTTAATGTTTTCCTGAATTGCGGTTGTAGTTGAATGGCCAAATAAAATTATCTGGAAATACAAATATTCTCAAGACACGTATTCACTAACTTGCACAGGCTTTACTGTGAGCTCTCCCAGTGCGTAGACTTAGAAGGCATTGTGAATATAGTGGCAGTTTCTACTCCACAGAGGCGAGTATCGTTCGTGAATATGACCTTAATATCTTCTGACAAACCTTTTATGTTATTAAGATATTTGTTTAACTTGTATATGTTATTATGATATTGAAATTTACTTACATCTTTACTCTAATTAGTATTCTAGTTCGCATCTCCAAATGTTTGGTCAAATATTTGATATATGTTGCCAAGAATATGACGTTGTCTTATTTAAGGAGAACCTATCATGTTCTGGATATACAGCGTGTGTCGCGTGCGGTTCGCGTGAACAAGACAAAGTGCAGGACATTGTAAATATAACCTCGACTCGATTAGGGACGTCCGAAGGGTGTTGTTAGGGCTGTGAATACGTATATTTTAAATTAACTCGCTCCTCTGTTGACACGGTTGACGATTCACTTTAGATTTTAAAGACGATTAAATTATTCTTTTATTTTTATTTTTTCATATTTTTATATAAGATATTGTGGAGTACGATGTTAGCCAGTAGCCGCGTGCGGAGTTTGTTAGATATCTAAAAATAATGTTTGTCATGTAAAAGCAGAAAAATCTGTTCACAGACGGATTTAATTCATTTGTCTCGTGATTAATAACTCGACACTGTCGTGTGTCCAAAGCTTAGTTTCGCTTTCAACATATTGACAATAATACATCGTTAGACATATCCGAACGAAGTATCATTACGACGGCCTTGCTTGGACACGTTAGTTGTGCAATTTGGATGCTTTCTTTTTATATTATTGTATATTATTTTCTAAGCTCTACGAGAAGTACATTTTTTCTGTTATATAAAATTTAGTATTCGTATTTAGTTTTAGTGTTAACTAAATTGTAGTTATTTTTTTAAATAAGCTTTTGAATTAAAATTTTGTAATCACAACGAATTGATTCTGTGAAAATTTAAGTGGTACACACGTTTATAATTTTAGTTGTTTTTTTTTTACTGGATATGATCTTAATTATTTTGTAGCACATTAAAGATTTTGTTAGCAATAGCATGTAGAATCAAAACCTTTGCGAATAAGAGATGTCAGTTCGCAGGTCGATTCCTGGAGCTAGTTTCGTAATAGTTAGTAGTGTGTGTGCTCGGTGGGAGGACCCCCCCCCCCCTCCCCCCTTCCGCCCCACTCCGCTCCAGATAATAATATTTGTTAAACTTGTGTATGTATATTGTTCTTGTATATATTCAATCATTAAAGTTGTTGATATTTCTATTGTTGTTTCAATTGTGTCCTATTCAATTTTTAATTTTTTAAACCAACAGTTCAAGTACGTTAATAATAATTATGCTTAGCTTTAAATTTCATTATTGTCAGTCATCTGCCTGACTGTGTGACAACAGTTGAAGTAAGCATTTTTACTTTGCAAACAGTGCCCTCATTGAGCGTTAAAAAATTTGACGTACGTAGTTGACAATGTTAAGCTTTTCAAGAAGTTACCTTATAATATGAATTAGATATATTAAACATGGTTACCCTTTTGTATGTGCCCAATAGTTCTGACTCAATTTACTTATAGTGTCACTGATGTCACTGACACGGGCTTGTCTTCTCATCGTACATCCCACAGTGCCTTAAGACGAAAGTCTTTAATGAGTGCGTCCTACTCGTCATGACATACGGAGCTGAAACGTGGACACTTACGGTACGGCTGGTCCACAAGTTCAAAGTCGCTCAACGTGCTATGGAAAGGGCTATGCTCGGCGTTTCTCTAAGGGATCGCATCAGAAATGAGGTGATCCGGCAGAGAACTAAGGTCACCGACATAGCGTACCGGCTCAGCAAGCTGAAGTGGCAGTGGGCTGGCCATATTAGCCGCAGAACCGATAACCGTTGGGGAAAACGAGTTCTTGAGTGGAGACCGCGCGCAAACGTAGTGTAGGACGCCCACAGGCCAGGTGGAGTGACGATTTGCGCAAGATGGCTGGCAGGAGCTGGATGCGAGAAGCCCAAAATCGATCTAAGTGGCGTGCAATGGGAGAGGCCTATGTCCAGCAGTGGACTGCGATAGGCTGGCCACCATCATGGATTTTAATTTTGATACAAACAATATTACTCGCTAATTTGTCGCCAAATATCAGAATTTGTCGGCTACTGGTTCAAAAGTTATAAGCGTTTCTAGGTAGCATATTTACGGACAATCTCCGAAGCTTAGCCACGTTTATATCTCAAAAGCTATAGCACCGAACGAAGATCTGTTTTCAACTTAATTTAGTCGCTAATTGTCAAAGTTTGTGCCAAATTTAGTTTGTTGGTCACTGGTTCAAAAGTTATAACCGTCTCTAGGTGGCCGACCTAGGAAGAATTTACCCAGCTCGGCCACGCTTATATCTCAAAAACTAGGGCACCTAGCGAAGATGTGCTTCCTCCCAAATTGACTCGTTAATTTTTCTTACATTTTTTGTCACAGATTTACTCGGGTATTAGTTAGATATTTCAATTTATACGGTGGGAATAGTCTAAGAGCTAGATCGAAGAGTACGAAATAAAGGAATTGAAGTACAATTAAGTTATCATTATTACTTAAAAACTGATTGTTAAATTCCTAGATAAATAAGTTACCTTTTTTTGCGTTCGGAGTTTAAACATGTGGAGGAACGGGTGTCATGCCCCTCTAACAGCAAGGGAGGATCCTCTGACCAGGCGTGGTGATCATGCCTGGCGGGCCACATCCCAACGGTTGATGTTGGGAAGTTGTATATATGCTAATCGGCGAGGGAATTATTTATATCG